GAGGGGGGGAGGTTTTTGCTATAGGGTGCGTGCGCTCACCAGAAGGACAGAGAGACAGAGAGACAGAAAGCAAGAAATCACCCCCCAGAAGGGGTGACCACACTGTAATCTCTTCTCCTCCATTGTCCTCTTGGGATCCTGGGCACTCATGCACACACACCCGGCGTGAGTTCAAGCCACCGGGTCCGGAACTTGAACTGCGGTTGCCTCGATGGGAGCCCAGCACCCCAGCCATTACGCCATCTGCTGGTCCCACTTTATTTATTTATTTTAATTTGACCAGAGAGGGACAGAGTGAGAGAGAAAGCAAGAAAGCAAGTCTCCAGGACCAGGACTTGAACTGCAGTCAGGCATGTGAGAGTCCAGCGCCCTTAACCACCACACCGTCTGCTGATGCTAAAATGCCTATCTTGGGGCCAGCAGGAGTGTGAAGCTAATGCTCTGGATTCCCACATGGCTGACCGCAGTTTGAGTCCCAGACCAGGCAGCTTGAAAATTCTGCTGGAAGCTGGTACATGTGTGCTCAAAATCCTAAGAGGAGAATAGAGAAGGAAATGAGACGTGACCAACCGCCCCAGGGGGTGATTTCTCACTTTTCTTCTCTCTGACTCTTTCTGGCAAGCATGCACACCCTATGGTAAAAACCTAAAACGAAACGCTTATCCTATATGTATTTTTCACAGGAGAAAATGTCTCTGATGCCTTTTCTCGTAAGATATTAAAAATCCAACTTTAGACCCAATCTAGCGGTGCAGGTGGTAGTATGCCTGTCACGAGACTAGAAACATTGGTTCCCAGGGCAACCTGAGCGTGATCCTGAAGACCCTGTCCAGGGTGCCTCTCTCTCTCATGAAAATAAACAAATGAGCTTTTCAAAAACTTCAACTTCATTCTGATTCTAAATTTAAAAAGGAATGTAACATCAGTTTAAAAATATGAAAACATTGGGCTGACAAGGTGGCATGGTGGTTGAGGTGCTGGACTCCCACATAGCTGCCGATGGTTCAAGTCCCGGACCTGGCAGCTTGCTTTCTCACTTTCCTTCTCTCTCTCTCTGTCTGCCTCTCTCTGGCAAGTGCATGTGCACTATAGCAAACAACATAATAATAATAAATAAAATTAAACAATTTTTTAAAATATGAAAGCATTGGACCAGCAGATAGTGTAATGGCCACGATTTCCCACATAGCTGACCAGGGTTTGAGTTCCAGACCCGGCGGCTTAAAACTCATGCAGGGTTCGTGTGCGTGTGTGTGTGTGTGTGTGTGTGTGTGCCCCCAAAATCCCAAGAGGAGAATGGAGGAAAAGTAATTGTGGCATTGCCATCACCCTTAAGAGGTGACTTCTAACTTTCTGTCTCCCTGTCTCTCTCTGTCTCTCTGGCAAGCACACATGCTCTATAGCAAAAATCTCTCTAAAAAAATATGAAAATGTTAAATATGCGTATGTGAAGTGGCTGTAGTAGTGTCCTATCAGAAGCACAAGCAGGAAGTAACTCTGGTGCCAAATAGTGTAAAGGGTTTTTTCCACTCCTCTCCTCAGCATCCCAGGGATTAAACATGTGTTCCTGCCAGCTCTCAGCACCACTGACCTCATGAGACAGTACCCATAAAACTAGACTCAGACACCAGACTCCACTCTGCTCCCTCTGGGTCCTCGCATCTGGGAGAACATTTGTTCCTGCAACCTCCAAGCTGTGTCTGCTCTCTTTTTATGTAAAAATACATTACAAAAAAGGTAGATTCAAAATGAATCTATTTCTGAAAATATTTTATCTTTTAAGTAACATCCCCCACTTCTATTTCACATGACAGTGTTAGACAAGTCAACTATTTATCTGTTCATTTTAACTCTTTTTAAAATTTTTTTAATATTTCTGGGACCAGAAGTTAGCATAATGGCTGTGTCGCTGGACTCCCATGTAGTCGACTGCAGTTTGAGTCCCAGGCCTGGTGGCTTAAACTCACACTGGGCATGTGTGCGTGCGTACTCAAGATCCCAGGAGGAGAATGGAGGAGAAGGGATTGCGGCGTGGCCATCCCCCCTGGGGGGTGATTTTTCACTTTCTGTCTCTCTGTCTCTCTTTCTGGCAAGCGCACATGCACTATAGCATAAAACCTCTCAATTTTTTAAAAAATATTTCTATTTCACAAGAAGTCCTTCTTTCATCTAACTATTCCTAAACTTTTATTACTCCTCTTTTAAAAAAAAAAGAATTTTTATTCATTTATTTTTAATTTGACCAGAGAGGGACAGAGCAAGAGAGCGAATGAGAGAGAGAGAGAGAGAGAGAGGGAAAGTGAGAAAGCAAGCTGCCAGGTCTGGGACTTGAACCACAGTAGGCCACGTGGGAGTCCAGTGCCCCCAACCACCATACCACCTGGCGGCCCCTCTTGATGAGGCTTTATGATTGCATTCTTTTTTGTTTGTTTGTTAGTTATCTGTTGATGATGCATATGGTAGTATCTTTGATTTGATTGACATGGACTACAGCATGCTGGGAAAAACCATGTTGTAGGCTGTAAAAATGTTCGATAATGAAAGGTAATTTTAAAAAATTAACTCTCTGTTAAAATCTCCTTTATCCTATTTTTATTCCCCTTCTACTCACTACGAAAACTCAAAGCCACAGGAGTACAATGAAAATAGAAAAACCCTCTACCTAACAAAGGCTTGCACTGGGGTGAGCAAGCTCTTTTGCCCATCCTACCCCATCATTACTGTCAAATATTTACTTTTGGTAAACATTTTGGTCTCCATGAACCAAAGATAATACCCTAGCAAGGGGGTGAACTGATCCAGTTTGGATTGGTCCTCACCCGCTTCTTCACTTCCTCCATGGATTTCCTGCATTGTTTATATGTAAACAGACAGACTTTCCAGGAGTGGGAAAATAAAGTGCCCAAATCTGAAATGTTCAGCTTAATGAATCTTCACATGTATATACACACATGTAACCACCACCTTGATCAAAACATGGAACTTCTTGAGCACCTTAAAAGGCTTCTTTTGTCCCCCCTCCCCATAAATATTGAAAAGGATACATTTTAATTCCCAAATTTTCTCTCTCTTTTTTTTTTTTTTTGGAGAAGTTTTCGCTATAGGGCACGTGTGCTCGCCAGACAGACAGAGAGAGACATAGAGACAGAAAGCGAGAAATCACCCCCCAGGGGGGATGGCCACGCAGCAATCCCTTCTCCTCCATTCTCCTCTTGGGATCTTGGCCAAGCACGCACATGTGCCCGGCATGAGTTTTAAGCCACCGGGGCATGAGTCTTAAACCACCGGGTCCGGGACGCGAACCGCAGTTGACTATGTGGGAGTCCAGTGACTTAGCCATTACGCTAACTGCTGGTTCCCTTAATTCTCAAATTTTGAAGCACCCTTAATTTTAGAGGAATTTAACCCTCATCTCCCTACCAGACATACTTAGGGGCATAACAATTTCTTGTTTTCATCTCTCAAGAACTATTTTAAGAAGTGAACATGGAAACAATTTAAATGGCCAATAATTAAAGAAGTTTTTGGTGGCATGTATGGTAGACTGGATACTATAAATATATAGTTATTAAAACCATATTTTTGAAGGATATTTAATGACAATGGGAAAAGTTCATAATCTATTAAATTAAAAGGCAAGATACAAAAGATGTCCGTGCAGAATCTTAATTTTGAAGTTATGAACGTGCACAAGGAAAAATAAGTGAAGAAAATACAATAAAAGATTAACTTCGGTAAACTCTGGGTGGTAGGGTATGGGGTGGGTTTTATTTTCTTCTTTATAATTTTGAAATTCTTAACAATAAGAATGTATTACTTTTCTAATCAGAGGGGAAAAAAACTGTTTTCATTTTAAATGGGGGGACGGCCTAAATGATTAACATTAGCAAAACAGTTTCCTAAATTATGAAAATTTCTTTCATTGCATACTAATAATGTTTAAATGGCATTTAGAAAAAAATGACATTTAAAAGGCTACAATTATTTGGGAAATTGTTTACAACTGTACTGATTGTATATTGTTTTAAAACCAAATTAGGATTATAGAACTGTGTTGGGGTACAAGGAAAATGCAAAAGGAATAACAATGGTTGCAAATTGTAAAACACAAGCATTGAAAAAATATTTTATGGGGGGACTTATTTAAAAGTTACAAAATATGTGTGTGTGTTAAGCCACAAATTCTATTTCCTGTAACCTGGTAGGTTTTTTGTTTGATTTTTTAAGGGTAAACATTTTGAGGAAAATTGTTTCAACATGTGCATTCTGAAGCTTTTTGAGGAGCGGTAAATGTGGCCTTCACTCCAGATCAAACTCGGCAGAAATCACCCTTAAAATAAACGAAGACACTCAAACTATCGCAAAATACCCCAATCAAAAGACTTAAGATCATTTCTGGGAAGCTCATTCCATGAGATCTTGACATTTATCTTTCGGAGTAAAAGGGCTTCATTTCGGATCGAATTATTTCTCGTCTATAGGGTCTGGGAGAGGAAGGTTGGGAACGCGACAACGCAACAACAAATCAAAATGAAAAAGTCCTTCTCTAGCCTTCTCTGTTTACCGCACAGTGCCTCGATTGCTTTTTGGCCCCTCCTCGTCCGGATGAAAACCGCGGCCCCACTCGCCCTAAAGCGTGCGGGCGAGACGGGTGACCTTGACCGGGGCGCCCACGCCTCTTCCCGGCCCGTGACGCCCACGCCTCTTTCCCCCCAAGGTCAAACAAAGGGAGAGCGGCTGGATCCTCTCCGGGAGGAGGGTGAGACAACCAGCCCCATTTGGTCCAAGACGTGGCAGGTAAAAGCCAACCGGGGTCGCGGGCAGGCTGCGCCTGAAGTCGGAGAACATGCTCCTGCCAACTCGCTCAGGCCTCCCGCGATTTCCTCGGGCTCGTATCCCACGTCTTGGCGTCTTCACCGCCGGTCGCCGAGCCGCGGGGGACTTGGAAGCGAAGCCGCGGCGCGCGACACGGAAGAGCCCCTGCCTCTCCCTGTCTGCCCCTAGCGCCCAGACCCCTTGGACTGGATAGTATGGAGCCAGGAAAAGACCTCCCGAGATCCGGGCTTTGACCCTCCCTGCTCCGGAATAACGAATTCTTTATAAAGAAAGAAATACCGTCTCGCAGGCCGCTCCCGCAGCCTCCGCAGCAGCCGGCCCCCGGGAAAGACGCGCCGGTGTCTGGGCCCCGAGGCTCCCCAGGCCAGGATTTCTGCGCCGTGGAGGCCGGGAGGCGCCCGGTTCGCGCAGGTGAAGTATCCAGATCCTGAGAGGGAGACCGGGAGCTCCGTGGGTCCCCTGCCGCAGGGACCAGCAGGCCAGGCCCGCAAGGCGGCGGCAGCCGGGAGGGAGCGGCGTCTCCAGTACACAGCGGGGACCGCCTCGGGATCACCTACGCGAATGTTCTCAGCGGCTCACCGGCTTCAGCTATTGCTCGCTGGTTATGTATGCAATTGTTTCTCCTGATTAAAAGGTTTATTTGCTGCCTAAAATAGGTATGCCAGCGTGGATTACGACTGAGTGAAAACGAAACTCTTACATTATGTCGATCCTAACTAAACTATGGGTCTGACTTTCGTGTGGCCTCGATAACCGATAACCGGGTTTTTAAATGCAGACTCAGAGGCTTTTCTCCGGAAGGCTTGGATCAGGAGATTTTTAAAGCAACCCAGGCTTGGGTGGGAGAGGCCGGCCTTTGCGATCCGGATCCTTCCCTGCCCCCCTGGGCCCCTTCCCCTCCACCCCCTCGGCGTCCCCATCCGGCTCCCCAAGGAGTGCAGGAATGTTTATGGCCTGGCCGTACTCAAGTTCAATGACAAAACCTTGCCTGGAGGGGAAGGGGCGGCAAACTTCGACTATCAACCAGACAAAAGCTGGGCACAGATCTGGGGAGGGCGACAGATTGGGCCCACCTAGGGTTGGAACCACCGGGACACAGGATGGGTGCACACCCGCTGCCCCAGAACTGCCTCTCTGCTCCCCAACCTAGATCTGAGGCTATGCCCTGGTGTGCCAGCCTAGGTGGGGTGGCGGGGTTAGAGTGTGAACAGAGGATGTGTGATTGCCCACCCAGGCATCTAGGACCCTGTGAGGTGCCCCTCCCCTCTTCCCGGCTTGCTTTTGCTCACCTGGAGCTGGAATCCACACCATTCTCCCACCTCGACCTGCCTTTCCACCCCACTCCACCCCACAGTTTGCTCACATCTTTCTTCCTGGATTTGATATTCCAAACATCTTTCCAGGTCCTTCTTCAACACAGACTCTCCCAGGAAGCGCCCCCCCCCCATGCCAGCCCAGTGTGCATGAATCTTTATCACTCCATAGTCCCCATTTGCCCTGATTGTGGTCATTTGAGACATTGTGTCCCCACCTCACGGTTCCAGAGGGTCCAGAGTACAGTCCTATGGCCTCAGGTCACCTATAGAGGAGCTGCAAGCTCCAGATCTGGCAGCGAGAGAGAGAGACAGGCCTCTCATGGGAAGAGAGAGTATTCCATTGTCTCTCCTCCTGCCTTCCATCCCCAGTGGAATATCTTGCATGCACTGGATAAGTGAATATTCAGTTGAACTGGATTTCCACACTAGTTCAGTCCCTGAGTTTGCACTTACGCAAATTGCACAGTGCCTGAGGCAGGGCTGAATCTAGGGCGTTTGTGGGCACCTTCCTGACCTCAGTTGGGTGGCTCCAGATGAAAGCAGAATTTGTCGCTGTGTAGGCGGAATTTGTGGGGAGAGGTAAGTTGAGGTGAGAGGAGAGGAGAAGGATGGGGGGGGTGGCTGGATTCCTATTCTGCCAGTTGATGGAGTCCCCAGGGGTTCCTGCCCTGGGGCCCCCCGTTTCTGCCATGTATCACAGCTAAGGTTGACTCTCAGTTTCAATTTTTTTGTTATAAAGTGCTCACTTGTGGGGAGGGGCAGCAGGTGGTGTGGTGGTTAAGGCACTGGACTCCCACATGGTCGAACATGGCTGAGTCCCAGACTTGGTGGCTTGTTTTCTCACTTCCTTCTCTCTCTCTCCCCCCCCCACTCCCCCACGCTGGTGAGTGCATGTGCCCTATAACAAACTAATAAATGATAAAAAATAAAAAATAAGTCTTTAAAATAAATAAATATGAGAGTGACATATGCTTATAAACATCATTAAATTTTTTAATTAAAAAAATGCTCACTTGATTGTGGGTTTTGTCAGAATGGGGGCAGCAGTTCTAAGGGGGCACAGGCAGGGAAGGAGTCAGCTGCACGAGGAAGGGGTTAGGTGAGCCTGAGTGTGTTTAGGGATTGCCTTGCCCACCCTAAGACCAAGGAGGTAGCAATCGGTGTTAGCTAAGGACGTCCTGTGACCCCAGTCTGCTTCCATGCTGGGCCTGGAGCCGGTTCACACATACAGGCCTGCAGCAGGGGACCCCTCCAGTAGCTCTGCCCATTGAGCACTGCTTTGGAGAAGGCACAGGAATGGAGGGAAGGAGAGCTGGGGCCCAGAGAATAGGATGCACGGCTTTGTTTTTTAAGGCCAGAGCCTTTCCCTGTAGGGTGAGTTAATAAATCATTATCAGGAGCACAGTTAACTTTCACCCAGTTTTCAAAGTAGACATGTTGTAAAATACACTTTCTAATAAAAATAACATTAACAATATTAATGTTGTCTATGCCGGGACTCCACCCAGTTGACAAACATAAAGTCATGTGGGTGCCCTACCGCCTCTGCCTCTGGCCACTCCATCCTGCAACCTCTCCCTGCCGGGCTGGCGGCGCAGTCCCGGGTACTGCGAAACACTCTGCCGCTTTCCGCCCAGGCGCTGCCAGTCTGCCCAGGAGCCTGTGAGGAGATGCCCCTGTCAAGTATCTCAGAGCCTACAACCCCGCCTTTCCTTGACAGCAGAGTCCTCGAAGGCCCCCAGATTTCTGGGACACCCTTCTCCAAGGCCTCCTGAGGCAGGTCCCAGACTGAGCAATGGATAGTTAACACCCTTGGCCCACAGATCAGCTACCTTATCAGGGACAAAGGCGATCTTGGAGGTTGTAAAACGGGCCATCCTTGGTCCAAAAAATGGGCGGATTAACACCCCTGTTCTCTTTGCAAAGGCCAGGACTGGGACCCAGCTTGACTGGAGGCCTGAGGTCGCCAGGCATGGGCCAAAGGGTTTCACCCACTGAGCGGGAACCGTGTAGGGCTCCGCGGGCGCCCACCTTAGGTTGAGAGAGGAATGGAAGCACAACGTTGGGTGGCCCCCTCCCTGCAGAGTCTGGGGCGGGGCTCAACAGACGCGCACAGCGGTGGCTCCCCACTCAGAGCTGCAAGTCGGGGTCTGAAGGCTGGAGCCTCTTTGAGCAGCACCGAGATTCGTCTCCCTGCCAACCTCAGAGTCTCCCAGTGGGCCTCCTGAGCTCCCTGGCCTCTCTCCCGGCTGCTCGGCCTCCTCCAGTCCCTCCCGAGGCCATAGTTGTTTCCCTTTCTCTTACCTTTTCTCTCTTTCCATAAAGCTCTTAGGAGAATGGGGGTGGGGTGGTGACCACCAGCCTGGAACTTCAAGTTCAATGGCAATGTCTCTGACCACCGCTTTCCCCCTCCCAGGCGCTGGGCAGTGGCTGCCTTCCGTATTCCCGTCGCTCTGGGGGCTATTGAACTCTTTTGCTGCCCTGTCCCCCTCCCATTTTAGGGGCAATTCAGGGGAGGGGAGGAGGAGGGAGGAGAGGGGAAGAGGTAACTTCCATCTTGTCTCCTCTGACCACTCCATCCCCCACCCCCACCCCAGAAAAAAAAATGCCACAACTCCCACTCCCAGCCCAGAACTGGGAGCGGGGAGAGGAAGAAAGTCTGGCACGGGTTCCCCATTGGACGTTTCAAATCTTTCTCCAGGTCCAGGCCACTGCCTGGGGGGAGGGGCGGGGTGTCTCGCTCAGGGACCAGAGGCTGGGGCGCTGCAGTATTGTCTCCCCTTCCCGGAGAGCGACTGCTCAGGTGGGTGAGAGTCTGGTGCGCTGTACTTCTAAAAACCGAAACCTCTTCGACTGCACTAGCTTCCTTATTGCAAGGTTAGCGGAGCTCATGTATTTCATCTGCGATTGCAGCTCTGGGGTCTCTATGAGGACAGGAGCGGGGCACAGACAGTTTCTCCAGAAGGAAATCTAATTAAAGTGCAGCTCTTATGGCCTTGAATAAAACTTTAATGAAGGGGAGGAGGGGCTCTGGAAATGGGGAGTGAAGTTTGCTCCGGGTTGGAGGAGGGGAGGCGGCACAGATCCCAAGAACTGGGGGGCTTGAGGAGGACTTTTTTTTTTTCCTTGCCAGCAGTTACCAATCCAGGAACTACTCCGTGGAGGAGTAGAGAGTACAGGTGTGGCGGGACCGATTCTCGGTCATTAGCAGTCTCCAGGGGTCCTGGGCAGTAAGTAGGAAGCGCTTGCCAGCAGGAGTAAAAGGCTCCAGAGATGGAACTTTGAATTCAGCTCTCTCTGCTGCGCCGGTGTGGGAACCCAGATTTAAAAACAGCTTCTGCAAAGCGTGTCTACGCAGTTCACCACCACTTCGTTATTCTACCTTTTGATGACTAGTAAAATCCACCTGCTTTGGAATTAAAAGTGACATCGGTCCTATGGCCTGCATAGACGCGACCCTCCGAACCAATCGGCAAGAGGACTCCTTTGGCTTCTAGGTATGGAAGGATATGGAGGACAGCTCAGAGTAAAATTATACCTTGTTGGTGAAAAAATGTCCTACTTATTTTCCGGAGTACATGTTCGTGCCTCTGCGTTTATTTATCCGTGAAAATGTTGTCCAAATTGACCTATTTATGAATGTGTTCGCACGTTTGTCTAACTGTAGCCAAACACTGTCTCCTGTAGCTCAGAGTAACCCTTATTTATAAACAGATCGCTAGACGTGAGTAATTGTGTGAATTTTTGTTGTACTTTAAATACAAAGGAGAGGTTTCAATATGGTCGGCTGAGTGGTGGGTGTAATTCGTTTGAGAAGTAAAGTTGGTGTCTGGAAAGGGATTCCATAAAAGAATTTAATACAAAATGAAATTAAATATTTTCTTGCACAGGTTCCATATGAGTAAATCAGGAAAACAGTGGGAGTCCACCGCAAATTGGTGTGGCGAGGAAGAGAAATGTATTACTCCCATGGAACGAAGACCCGCAGGACAGCCGGCGCCGCGGCCCTGCTCCGTCTAGCAGCTCTAACCGCCCCGTTTTCCATTCGAGCTCGCTCGCGCGGCCATTCCTGTCTTCCTCCTGGTCTCTCGGAGGCTGGACCGATTCTTCTGCCGATGCTCTGGCGGAATTCCAGATGACTCCAGGTCCTGGTGCTCCCACACACAGCCCAGAGCTCCCCAACCGGGAGGCCCCGGGCGACTGCGGCTGGAGTCCGAAGGTCAGTGGGGGATTAGAGCGTAGGCGGTCTGGGTTCCCCTGAAGTGGCGATCCTCTGCCGGCAGGGGGCGCCCTTGTCTTTTTAATAGTCGAAATACACTGGTAGCGGAATAAATCTGTAAAACCCTTCATCTTTTGTTTCCTGTGAAATTACTGTAAGAAAAAAAAAAAAAGGAGCCCCGGGCCCTGATAACAGAGTGGAGGAGTTAGAGCCCCAGCAGTACAGATGCTCTCAAACCCCCGCCCCCAGGCTTCTCTGTACTGGACCCATCTCTGCAAATCGAGGTGACTGGTGGTCCCACCTGTGGCCTTTTCTCCTCCCCAGGTGGAGACTCTGCACCGTGACACCCATTTATAGTGAGTCCTTTCCACATGCCTATCTGTACTGAGGCCTCGTGAACTTCTGACGTCCACGAGAGAGAAGTGTTTGCTTGCGTTTTCATGGTCAGGTTCTGGTTTCTAGAGACAGACAGAACTGCAATGTTAGAAGCTATGCTCCTGGGGCTTCACTTGAAGGGGAACGTGAAAGGCAGAACGTGACCTACTCCAGGTGGGGCGCATAACCTAGGAACTGAAACTGGACCACTGGGCTTGGAAGAATTTTTTTTCTATCTCAAAATCTATCTCATCCTGTCCTCCTCCCCGCACCCTCCCCTTGCACGCGCACACTGAGACCCAGGCAGGGAGGGTGACAACTCGCCTTGGGCCTCTTCCTTCATTCCTGCGCTCCTCTTTGGTTAATAGATTTAGAAAAGTCCCAGTCGCTTCCCACCTCATTCTTTCCCGGGAGAGGAGCCACGGTTGGGATCCCACCCGACTGCTGGCCGTAAACACTCGAATCCCTTGACTGCAGCGGTTGCCTGGGAGTTTCTTGGAGAACTCAGACCTCTCGGAGAGGAAAAGGCCTTCGAGAGGGTGGCCATGGTCCGCCTGCCGGCTGCTCAAAACTTCAGTGGCGTGTGGGTTCTCCCGACTTCAGGCCTGTGTGCTCCTTCGATCGATAGCAGGGAGCGCTGCTCTCAGCCCAGGCTGCAGGAAGGCCCGGCGCAAATCACTAGATCTCAGCTCCAAACCTGCGACCTTTGCTGCGAAGCCCAGGCAGCAAGTACCACTGGGCACTGGGCATTGGGCCCAGGTACGACGTCAGGGAACAAACATAGAGGAGAAAACCCCCGTGTGGCTCCAAGGGGCCCGGCTCTGAGAACAGCGGTCTGCCCCAAGTTTCTGGAATTCCGCACTGTGGGTCTCAGTCTACGTGGACCGAGGGGAGGAAACAAGATTAGCGCCACCGCACCCTCCACTTGCCCGGGATTCAGGGGTATGTCGACCTAACCAGCGCAACGAGAAAAGGACACATCTGCGGCCACCGTCTCATCGGACACCTGGGGTTCCCAATGTAGGCGTGGGTCTGAGGGCTTCCGCCAGTCCCCGTTCTTTGGCCGGCAAAAGGGCCTGCCGCATCTTCCAGGCCTGAGGACTTCAAGCTCCTCAGGTACGGAGGCAAATGGAAGAAAACGGGTGGTGAAAGGGCCCTTTTCTGGGTTCCTCTCCTGCCGGGCTATTCCGGTGTGGGTACGGTAGGACACTGCTTCTCTAACCGCTGTGTGTGCCTGGGACAGGCTGCGACCGCAAGGCCACAGATACATTTATGCGGACCCCAAATGCCCAGCACACCATGAACTGCCTCAGGCACAACCACCAGGAACCTTAAGAGAAGCCTTGGAGAATCTGGGGGAAGGAAAGGAGGAATGGTGAGTTATCCAGACACTGCAGCAAACACCTTTTCTCTGGAAGGAAGATCGGCTAGACAGCCCTCTGGTTTCATTTTCATCTAACAGCAAATCTTAGAGTTAGGGATGGAGGCTTCGGTCCATCCTGAACAGCTGTCATCTTAGAAAAATGCCAAGTGGACATGAGAGTCACCCAAAGGAGTCTGCTTTTTCTGTCTCCCCCATCTTCTGGGTGTGAGTGGAAAGGGGTCTGAGAGGAAGCCGCCCTGCCAAGGGGTCTCCTTCCAAGTTTATTCATAATCAGTTCAATTCATGAAAGCAGTTTCTAAAGTGCTCTACAGAGCTCTAAATAGAAAAGATGAGACTAATGATCATGGCAGCTAGTACTGGTTATTGCGATTATCGCCACGTCAGGATGAATGATTATGACTGGGACAGGTTCTCTGGGCACCTGGTGGAGTGAACTGTGACTCCAGGCCTCACTCTCACAGTGCACCTTGGGTACCCGAGCAGCCCCTGAGGCCTAGGAGCCAGTGGCCTGGGAAGGGTCTGGTCTCTGAGGGCCCCATAGCCAAGTCTTTTGGCCCCAGCCTGACCCTAGCAGGCTCTTGGTCTCTCAGGGACACCCCCACTCTCCTCCCCTCCCCACACCCAGCCAGGGATCCCTCACGGTGTAGCTGTAGCGCTGGTCTTGACCTTGGCAAGAACTTTCTTCTCTTTGACCCTACGGTTCTGAAACCAGATGGTAATCTGGCGCTCTGAGAGGCTGGTGGCCGCAGAAATCTTGCGCCTCTTATCCTTAGTGATGAACTTGTTAGCTGCATATTCCCGTTCCAGCTCCCGCAACTGCCCCTTGCTATAGGGAATACGTTTCTTGCGGCCTCGGCGGAAGGAGCAGCCATCAGGAGGATGCTGCGTGCTTGAATCTATGCAGCAGAAAAGGAGGGAGAAAAAGACACTTTCAGACCCCTGCCCCTTGCAAGCCCAAGCTCAGACCCAGGTCCCACAAGACTCAAGGCTAAGTCACTCTACAAGCACACCAGCACTGCTCCTGCAAAGCACATGGGGACACCCTAGCTTCCAGCTGGTTCTCTGATCACCGCTCAGTCTCAGCTTCTGCCAACCCTCCCCTACACACACTCACTCCAAGTCTGCAAACACACCCACCACACACAGCCAGGCCTCTGCCTACGATCACATACGTCCACTCTCACATGTATCTTCAGACTCTTGGCTCTTCAATTCTACACGATATTCTGTTCAGGAGAAAACAACACATTTTTGCCCCCACTCCCAACACATATACATATACACAGTCACCTAATCCAATGCACACACCTAAGTCATGGCTGCAGGAAACCTAAATTTCCTCTGGAAATGGAAAAACTCATCTAAGAGAAAGTGAGGGGTTGTCTTCTCCACAGAACATCCAGTACCTCCTTTCTACTCCCCACACCCACTGAATGGAGAATTATTTAGCTTTTGTGTAGAATTAGACTGGGAATGTGTTGCATCTGGCTCCCTGACCCCCACCCCACAGCAAAGAGATCCAAGGCGCTCAGACATACATAAAGCTAGTCCCAGGGGCTTGTGGGCCAACGATCTTCATGCTTCTGATAGCACCCAGCTCAGGCCCCTCACATAGAACCCTCTGGGGCCTCCATCCAGACCCCCCAGCTGCCTAGACCCTCCTTCAGAGTCCTAATAGGAAACAGAGGAGCACCAAGCTCCTCCTTACCAGCCCCAAGTCTTCTTCCTCCTCTTCCTCCTCCCAGACAAGCCCAGAGGGGCCCTGCGTCAGAGCCAAGGGGACCCAGGATAGTGGCCATTACCTGCAAATGTCGCCTTCCAAAAGGGACCAGGTGGGTTTTGTTCTCCCTGGCAACACATCTGGCTGTTCCAGCCACCGGTGAGGGCCCAAGGCTGGTAACCGTCCACAGGCAGCAGGGAGTCATGGCGAGGCTCCCCAGGGGCGCCCAGGGTCTGCACCACCGACACATCCAGGTAACTGGCCATAGGCTGGTAGGGTCCCGGGTATCCGGGATAGAAGGCAAACTCGGTGGGGCGGCTGGGGTACTCCTCCCCTGCTGCAGGAGTCTCCGCAGGGTAGGCGGCCAGGGTGGCAGCCTGGGCACAGGGTTTCAGCGAGCTCCGGGACACTCGGCAGGAGTAGTACCCGCCTCCAAAGTAGCCATAAGGCACAGGAGCTGGGGACGCCCCCTGAGGCACCCCAGGACAAGGGTGGCACTGCTTCGGTGGCTCTGCAGAGCCTGGCAAATCCAGCGGGGCATAGTTGACAGCAGGCATAAGCGAAGGCGCCGCTGGGTGGCTGGTCAGTGGGGAGTGGGCAACTAGATTCCGACCCCCTCCCGCTCCCAGCAAGCCTTCCATATCCTTGGCCCCGTCCAAAGTGGCATAATTGCCGGGCTCCATGGGGCCCAGGATCGGCTCATGGGGTTCCGGGGGAGGGGGATGGCGGGGGCACCCAGCTCGCTTTCCCCACCCAGGCCCGGGGAATCCAAAGCGTTTTAAATCGCTCCCAGCTAGCTTACGGCGCCTGCATTCGCTCTGTCCGGCCGTCCTGACGCAAGAGACGCAGGGGCCCGGGCACGCGCGCTGATTGGCTGCCCACCCCGGTCGGCGGAGAACCCGGGAATGCGCCTGAGTAAGAGTAGGCTGGGAAATGGGGTTAATGGGTATTTCTGGATATCCCCTGCTTTGGGTCCTGGGTACTAGCACCTCGGATCATTCCAGGTGCCCCTCCTACCCCGGATGCTCTGTACTAAGCCGCACTGAAGCCCGGGGAATTGCCTAGACCGCCTCTTCTCCAGGGACCCGAAGCCACTGCCCGAAAGGCTCTGGAGGCCCGACAGGGGTTGAGGCGGAAGGAGGGGGCGGAGGACACAAACTTGGACGTAGAAGGCGTGTGATCGGGAGCTCAGGACACGCAACGTCCGGACCTGAAGGGAAAATGGAGCCTCTAAATGTGGCCTATGAGAGGGCAGTGGGTTCTGTATTTCCGTTTAAGGGTGGGGAGAACTCTAGGGGTTCTGGATCCTGAGAATGCAGGAGCCAGCCTGTGTGATGTAAAACCTCTCTGCACTGCTCTACGAGCAAAGGGACCCAGAAAACTGGCCCTGGCACTGGCACACTCCCATCGAACTGAGTGCCCAGAAAATCCAGGACCCCTATCTGCTCCTCTAGGCTTTAAATTTCCCTAGAAGGAAAAGGAGATGGGAGGGGGAAGCCCAACCGCTGGCAGAATTGCTTGAGGCCCCTCTTTGGGGCTTATTGAGAAGACTCAAAGAGTTTGTTTCACAAATCTGTCTTTAGAGGTTTTCTGTTTCCTTCACTACCCCTCCCAAATCAAATCCTTCTGTGTCTGCTCATTCCACAACCCCCAGTTTTTCTGGAGAACACAGGAGCTTTCCCATTCTACTCTATGGTCTTGGCAGTTATATGGAACAGAGCACTCTGAGCTCAAGCTCTGGGTGGGCTCAGCCAGGTCCCCTTACCAACGTGAACTTGAACTTGAGCAACCTTGTGGGAAAGGGCCCATGAAAGCTGGAATTGCTCCAAGATGTAGAGCTGTAGTGGAGACTGTAAATCACTCTTAAAAAAGAAAAAAGTTTCTTGAAAGAGAAAGAGACCAGAGAGGGTCACTCCCAATAGAGATCCCCCAGACCATGATCCATCTCAAGTCCCAACCTGCCTAGAAATTGGAATCCTGGGCATGCAGGCATACTCCCAGCATGCTCAGGGAGGTCTTGACAGGAGCCCAGGACATTTGCCATGCGGGTCCAGTTGCGTTTCCACTGCACGTCCCCAGTCCTTGTAGATCAGTGTTAGTGAACACTGCTAATAGCTGAAGACACCAAGCATAGAATCCTTGCTAGATTGTATCACATTTGCATGAAAGAAAGGAAAGAGACACCTCTTCAGTGCTTTCCCGTTTCTCTTCATAGCCTCTGCTTGTCTAATTATGAAAGATGGAAATACCAGGATTTTTACCCAAAAACTATTTCACTAGTTTTGACCTGACAAATAATAGAAACATAGGATATTTTAGCTTCCACTAACAGGCGAATGTACACATAATATACATACATATGTATTATCTATATGTTTATATGTGCAGGTAGAATTTTTGGAGGTAATGTGGTTCAGGCATGAATATATCCCTAAATTTAGCAAATAATAATAGTCATACCCTATGACCCATAGGAATTCTGTTCCTTAGCATAAGCCCAACTGAACTGAGTGTTTATGTCCATCAAAAGTAGTAGACCTGGGGCCGGCAGGTGGCGTGGTGGTTAAGGGTGGTGGACTCCCACCTGGCTGATCCTGGTGGTTCGAGTGCCAGACCTGTGGCTTGCTTTCTCACTTCTCTATCTCTCACTCTGTCCCTCTCTGGTGAAATTAAAATAAATAAATAAATAGAGTTAAATAAAACAATGCTGATCCTGGTGGTTCGAGTGCCAGACCTGTGGCTTGCTTTCTCACTTCTCTATCTCTCACTCTGTCCCTCTCTGGTGAAATTAAAATAAATAAATAAATAGAGTTAAATAAAACAATTCTTTAAAAAAAAAAAAAAAGGTACTAGACGTACTAGCAGCTTTATTCATAACAGCTCAAAACCAGGAACAACCGGAATGTCTAGCAACAGTAGAATGGGTAAAGTAATTATGGTATAATTGACAATGGAGTAGCACACAGCAATAAAAAGAACAAACTACTGGATGGAACAAAGGACATACAACATTGATGAGTCACACTGATATGTGGGTGAAAGAAGCCAGACACAGAAGGGCGACTTCTGTGGGAGTCCACTGCTACACAGACCAAGAATAAGCAAAATTAGTAGATGGTGCTAGAAGTCAGAATAGAAATGATCCCGTGAAGAGGGGCTCCGATGGGCAAGAGACATAAAATAGCTTTTTGTGGTGCTGAAAATGTTCTCTATCTCAATCGGGATGCTAGTTACATGGATGTGTTCATGCTGTGAAAATTCATCAGACTGTACACTTGATAGTCCTTCACTTTATTGGATGTCTGAAATATCTCCATTTTTAAAAGGAAAAAGAATTAAAAAACATTTTTAAAGATTATTTATTTACTTTTATTTTTTAAAGAATTACCTTATTTAATTTTTTATTTATCCACTTATTTATTTATTTTAATTTGGCCAGCGAGGGACAGAGTGAGAGAGAGAGAGAGAGTGAGAAAGCAAGCTACCAGGTCCAGGACTCGAACCCGTGGTCAGCCATGTAGGAGTTCAGCGCCCCTAATCACTACGCCACCTGCTGGCCCCAATTTTAATAATTATTATTGTTTTTAAATTTAACTAGAGAGAGAGAGGGAGAGAGAGAGAGGGAAAGCAAGCCAAGTCCAGGACTCTAACCTTAATCAGCCATGGGAGAGTTCAGTGCCTTAACCACTCTACCACCTGCCAGCCCCTAAAAACAATTTTATTAAAAATTCACAACATTGTTTGCAACTGAGCTTTTTGTGTATATAGTGTTCTTATCCATGTTCATTCCCTCCATTGGAATAGGCAGCTAAATACATGTAATCCTGTATTGTTCTGGAAGGCAAAGATGGCCAATCAATTTAAACTGCCCTAGAGAAACTCACCAGCTGTGCTGGAGACCCCCATGTAAACAGATAGATTTCAATACAAATAAATAATAGGGATTTTGTTTTGGCTGCAATTTCCTTAGCATCGACAAGATTCCAAGGAACCGTTCTGGATCTCATACTTACTAAGAGGTGGGTGTGTGCTCCTGTTTCCTCTATGAGTGTATGTATGTACGCTTGTCTGGGGTCTATCACAGATGGCATTTGGAGTAAGGTAAGGTCGGACTAAGTCTCCTTATCTGTAAAATGGGAATAATAACTCCTACCTCACTGGGATGCTGTGGTGATATAATGTGATTTTGCACGTAAGCATTTCATAAACTGAGTAACTAAGTACTATTTGTGTTCCTGTGTGTGTAGAAGATGATGCTCTTTCATTGGGGGTGGGGGGAGGACAAGGGGAGTAACAGTTGTTCTAAGTTCTGATCACTTTTCACTTGCTACTGTCAGCCCTGAGAAAACCTGAGACTCCCACATAGGTAAACTGAGGCTCAGGGCCTCCCGACCGCCCCCGGGCTCCAGGCGGGTTCAGCGTTGAAATCCTGCACAACCCAGGCGTTCAGAGGACCCAGCCGATGAGGCTGAGCCTGCCCTCCCCCCAGCCCCACACAGGCCTTTGTGTCCTGCTGGAAGCTTTCAGGCTGACCCTCCGGGAGGAGCCAGGAGCCTCCCCCCAGCCCCCTTTAACCACCCGGCCAAATACACTGAAAGCCTTGGCGTGCTCCTTTACATACCGGCCAGACACCTCCGGGAAGGTCAAGGCCAAGTTGAAAGTTAAGAGTCTGTTTACCTCCGGGAGCCCATTCAGCGCGGCCGCACAGACCGCCTATGACCTTTACAGCCCAGCCTTTGAGTGCGGCCGCCGCGCCCCCAGGGGTTCCGGCCACGGGGACTTGGCACCTCCGTGTCAGCTCCCGCCCCGCCCGAGCTCGGGACCCGCCACCGAAAGGGAGGGGGAAGAGGCGCCCCCTCGTCCTAGCTGGAGGCATTTGTTAAATAATGTTTTATTTTTTGTAAAGTAAGAGAGAGTGCTCGCTGGCTTCGTTCTTCCAACTGGAACAACGTATGTGGTGGCGACATGGCGGCCTTCAGGTCGGTGGTGATGAATAATGCGATTTATCTGCGACCGCGACGCTTCCTTCTCCCGAAAGACCGGAGTCCCGCTGTCCCGCCAGACTGCGCGGGCCTGCCTGGCTGAACTGCTTGGGGTTAGCTTCCCTTCTCTCGGTTTTAGGGAACGGCCTAGTTGGGGTGCGCACTTTTCTGCTATCCTTTCCTTCCCGTCTGTACTTCCTCTCCCTTGTAATTAGTGTTCTGGTACCTTTCCTTTCTTTTTATATTAGTTTTCCCTTTCTGCCCCCCCCCCTTTAATTTTATTTACCTTGCTTTTTGCATTTTCTTTCCTGACTTCTTTCTGTTTCTCTGGGTGCTTACTTGTCTGGCTCCCCCACCCTTGCTCAATCTTTCTTTTTTGGTCCATTTCTCTGTATCTGCCACTTACACTATTTTCCTCCTTTGTTTGATTTTTCTTCCTCTCATTTTTCTTTCTTTCGTTTTTTTTCTTTTTTCCTTTGTATCTTTTCTGCTTTTCTCTCTCATTTCTATTTCTTTCTCTCTCTCTCTCTCTATTTTTTTTCCGTTTCTTTCTTGTCTGAACACTTCCTCCGAACACGCACACGTTTTTCCTTGGCCATCCTCTTGCACGATATTCCGTTGTTCTCCAAAGCCTGGAAAGGGGCCTGCCAGCGGACGACAGCTCTCCGCAGCCAGAAGACTGCTTGGCTGGAGGCAGCGGA